GTCGTAGGCCTTATTTGTCGACTGTCGTGTAGCAGAGGACAATAATCGGGTAACTCTTCCCGAAAAACCTTCTGCTGAGCAGCGTTGTTGGAGATGAGCCAAACGGCTAGCTGGAGTCTTGGATACATTGGGTGGATTGCCCTTAGGTTTGACGGATCCTCCAGGAGTGTTTGGGAGGATGGAAGGCACACTGGCAGGCGTATTGCCAGTTGTAATAACAGGGGCCACCAATGTTGTGCTTGCCAAATGGGTGCGACCAGGAGGAGAGTTGCATTGTCGTCCCTCACTTTCATTAGGGTTCGAGGGATCAGATTGAACGGGGGGAAAGCATAACCCCTCGTGGAGCTCCAATCCAGTGTGAATGCGTCCGTTGCACAAGCGTTGGGGTCCGGGCGCCAACTTACGTAGCGTGGTAATTGATTCGTTAGTCTGGTTGCAAACAGATCGATATCTCTGCTTCGCAGGAAAGGTTTTATTATCCCTGACTGTATTTTCCAATCGCTCGAGTCGACGAACACTCTCGACTCTTTGTCCGCTTGGACGTTCTCGGCCTCCGGAAGATATTCCGCCTTCAGGAAAATATTGTGTTGTAGACACCAATTCCATAGTTCTAATGTCAGAGACATCAACTCTGGGGAGCGGGTTCCGCCCTGGTTGTTTATGTACGAGACAGCTGTCGTGTTGTCTAGGCGTAGTTTTACTGCTATGTTCGCCTGATGTTTCAGGAATGATCGTATTGCAAGAAAGGCTGCCTTCAGTTCCAGAACATTTATGTGGAGGAGTCTCTCCTCGTGCGACCAACGTCCGTTGGTTGAAGAATTCCCGCACGTTGCGCCCCAGCCCATCTTGGAGGCGTCCGTTGTTATAGTCATTTCGGATGCAGGGGGACGAATCGGACTTCCGTTGACCCGATGGATATTCTGAATCCACCACTGCAGTTCGCCCAGGGCTGATCTTCTCAGATACACCAAACCCTAGTAACCCCCATTGTTTAACGTTACCCGCTCGATCAGGCACGACTGAAGGTGCCGGAAATGGAGTGGAGCAAGCCAAACCGCTGGCCGGCAAGACTCTAGGAAACCCAACAGTTGAGATAGCGTGTGTAATGATGTTAGATTCTCCTTCAGCAAGGATTTTCACAGGAGGGAGGTTTTCACTATTTTCTCTGGAGGTAAAGAGAACTTCATGGTGACTGAGTTGATTATAAATCCTAGAAACTCCAGGATCTGAGTTGGGACAAGAATCGACTTCTCGTAGTTGATTATAAACCCCAGATCGCGAAACAAATTTAGCACAACCTGTGTGTGTTGCTGTAATATCACCGAGGATGACGCTACTAGAAGAATATCGTCCAAGTAGATCAGAAGTCTGATGTTGCGTGTGCGGAGGAAAGCTACGACTGGTTTGAGCAGTTTGGTGAACACACGTGGTGCCGTATGTAGACCGAATGGTAGGGCCTTGAACTGATAAACTTGGCCCTGGTAAATGAACCTCAGATATTTCTGTGAGTCGGGGTGAACGCTGATGGTTAGGTATGCATCTTTGAGGTCTAACTTGACCATAACATCTCTTGGGTTGATAATTTGTTTTGCACATAGCAAGTTTTCCATCTGAAAATGTTCGTTCTTTACGAATTTGTTCAACTGACTGAGGTCTATGACGGGTCGAAATGAGCCTCCCTTTTTTGGGACAAGGAACATCCGACTGTAGAACCCCTTTCGGGAAAAATTTACGGGGATGATAGCCCCTTTGATTAGCAAATTTGCTATTTCCTCGTCCATCGCGTCCTCTGTGCACTTTGTTGGAGGAATAACTTTTTGATGCGGTTCCGACAGGAACTCCAGTTGATAACCCCGAACTGTGTTTAAAACCTGTTGGTCCTGAGTGATACTTTGCCACTGGTGAAGGAAAAGGGGCAGCCGAGCTGTTCGCTGAGACATTAGCGGGGCCAGTTGCGATTGTACTGGGCCCGCCTGCCACGAAAATTCTGGGGCTTAACATTAGCGGAAAAAGAGCCTCGCTGGGGCCTCGTTGACCTGTGTTGGGTAGGCTCCGGAAAATTATATTTGTTTGCTGGGTGGGCTAGTGCCGCGGAACCGCCACCTGTAGGGTTTGGTTTTACATTGTATGGTTGCTTTTGCAAGTTTTTAGTAAGGCTCCGCGATAACTCGGAGTGCTTAGCTGCTAGGGAGGGCAAATCGTCCCCAAATAACATTTTCCCAGCATTGGGAAATTCACGATCAGCTAGTTGTGCCTTATCAGGATTAATCGCACCCAAAATCTTCTTCCGACGATTTGTTGTCACAATATGATTGGCAGAGCCCAACAAGCACAGCGATTGCTGTAGAGTGTTCAATAATCCTCGTTAGAAATCGTAGCCTGTTGTTCAAGGCGGTCATGTAGGCAACAAAGAGGGCCTGCTGAATTTAGTAGTGCGCGTTGAATTAGCGCCAAATCTTTGTCGCGTTGTTCGACGAATTTTTTGCGATTAGCGGGAATGTAATTTAAAATCTGTTTGTCCAGTAAAGGAGCATTACAAGCGTCGATCTCAGGGAGAGAATTTTCTCCGATAATTTCGTTAACTTGGTCTAATGTTAGGCGTGTGCTTTTTTTTTCAAGAAATTTGCCAAAGTGGTCTGAGGGAGACCATCGTCGTCGAGCGGAGCTCTCAGGGTCAAAAAACTCGCAAGAAGCTTCTTCTGCCGAAGCGACAGTGTTGGGGTTAAATTTATCGTTTATATTTGTCGGCTCAGCGCTGTCTAAAGGTGGCATAGAGCCAACTAAAGGTGCCTCAAAGGCCGAGTTGTTGTCGAATTCCTTCGGCGAGTCCGATGGGTGAATTGACAATTGATCATCGTCGAATTCGCCAAGACCTGCTGAGGTTGTGCTAGCGTTGTCGCTCAATTTCGACTCAATGGCCGATACACGAGTGGTCCAAGCCACAAATTGTTGCTTCATATCGTTGACACGAGCTTCGGTGTTATTTTCCCGCCTTCGTTTGTGGCGATGAGCTCGATTTTCCGAGTCTTTTGGCGAAGATTTTTCGCTGGGAGAAGACATATGATCACTACGATGACGTTTCCGAGTTGAATTATCAGACATCCTAGAAAACTAAGGCTTGAAGGCAAGATAAAAACGTGAAATCATGTGACCCGGGCTTGTTTTCTTTTTCTTTTCTCTTCATTTCCGGTTCCGGAAACGTTGAAACGTGAGTTAGAGCACGGTAAGACAAGCTTTACCATTTGTTTTCCCATATATTTCGACCGGAGTTTGTGAAGTATAATTCCAATATAATAGACGACTTGCGCTTTAAACTAATTTCTTATCTCGGCGATAAAAAGGACATTTTCTGAAAGAGCTTACTAAAATTAGTGAAACTGTCAAGTTTGGCAGCGAGTTGTGGTAAATTACGGAAAATATAGCCATGTGAAGTTGACGAATTTTGTATACTTTTGTATTACCGCCGGAAGTTTGTAACTAATTTAGTTACACATTTCCACACGTAATACAAAAGTATACAAAATTTGCCAACTTCGCATGGCTATATTTTCAGTATTTTCCAAAATTTCGCAGCCAAACTTTGCATTTGCACTAATTTAAGTAAGATCTTTCTATATAGCTGTGATCATTTATTTTCTTCTAGTTACTTCGATCAAAAATTAGTCTAAAGCGCAAGTCGTCCATTCCATTAAAAAAATTAAAACCATGAAACAAACAAAAAACCAAATTTCTTTCAAATTCGCTCTGTATCTGCAGTGATCTGGCGAGTCACCCGCGAATGAAGGCAAAATTTGCGGGCCCGCAAATTTTGGCTTCATGAAAACAATCATAATGTAGCGTTCCAGCTATTTATTTCAGTTCACTGGCTAGACTAGTGGTGCGGGCTATGTCTTGAATCTAACTGGGTTTCGGCTTATATAATCTGGTTCATTCAGCGATCCTTTGTGATAAATTACTCTAAAGGTAAATGCTTGTAAGCGCATCTTCCACTTTTCGATCCGTGGTGGGGGTTTGATTTGCATTGTTAAATATTGATTCGAATGCTTTATGGTCCGTTATATATATGACATCAAATTCGGATCCCAGTAAAAATATTCTAAAATGTTCGATACCCCAAACTAAGCTAAGTCCTTCAATGTCAGTTTGTGAGTACCATTTCTCCACTGGGCTGAGAGCTCTGCTTGCACACGAGATTATTTTGTAATGCCGACTGTTCTTTTCTTTTTGGGCTAAAATTGCACTTATTCCATGTCGTGATCCATCCGCTATCACAATACTTCGTTTCTTTGTATCAAAATACGTCATGACTGGTGTACTTGTTAATCGTTTTTTAAGGTGTTCGAATACTTTCTGGTGCTTCAATGTCCAGTTAAAAGCTACGTTTTTCTCAGTGGTGATGTTATTAGTGCATAGTCTGGTATGTACTCATGACAAGTGTTTGCCATTCCGAGAAAACTACGAACTTCGCCAGCATTCTAGGGAGCTGGTACTTTCACAAGATTGGCTATCCGTTCGGGATCGGGTTTTGTACCCTCTGCGCTGAATTCTAATACATGAAATGTTCTTTCTTTTTTTAGAAATTTTCTATCCTTTTACTTTCAAATTTAGGCATTCTAAACGATTAAAAGTTTTTCAGAGCCTCGTCATGTGAAATAACGCTTCGTGTGTGGAAAACGTTGTAAAAAACGACTTTCCGGATGTAGTTCCCATTTTTCATTATTCTGTTCCTTATCGGGTTGTTTTTCTTCCTGCGTGTCCGGTAAACCTGAGATTGTGTTGATTAATTGTACTAATGTGTGATCTTGTGCTGTTTTTGCACTCAGTAAATTGCCACCTGTACCCTCAATAACGCATTTTTCTCTTCCCTCCGCGGCGAGTAAAAACAACATCACAAGAGCCCAGGGTACGAGGTTGTCATTCACTGTGACCTTTTATCTCCACATACATATGAAAATTTCGTATAACCTCTTCTTGAGTCTTGATCCATAAAATTAATATAGGTCTAATTCCTGCCAACATGATATCGGCGGAACTAGAAGCTGGTGTGCCAACGCAAACAGGTTAGTATGATTTCTACGATTTTTATTATCTCATGCAGGATTAGAACGCAATTTACTCCTGAAGGGAACGCCGATTATGTTTTGGATAAAATTACTCGCTTTAGGCAACTTAGCCTTAGGATGAAATGCAGCGAATCAAAATATTCAAGATGGGCCGATTTCGGCGATTTGTTTATTCAAAACGTAATCAGCATTTTGACATAACTCATAAGGATAAGTTATAGTCCTTTATACAAGGCAGAGAGGATCAGATCTCTTATACAGATAATGTTTCTTTTATGTTGTTCTTCATGCACATTATAGTATATGTGTTAAGACTAAAATTATTTCTGTAGCGGATTTTTGACTACATGAATAAATTACCTACTTCCAATAATACTATCAGAATAAGCTATTGGTATATTCTCCACTGGTATTCTCAAATTATAAGGTCTCCGAAAAACACGCAAAACCTACGCGAATATACCGGTCACGTGATTGATATTCAGGTATTTATGTATATGTATGCACACGACAACCTTTTCGGCAACGACTGTATATAAACGCAAGTTACATCGTTTGATAATGCTAGAATATGGTCTACACCGTCTCAAAATTTTCCATCGGATTGAGTAGGGTACATTTAAATCCTTAAAGCGACTTTACACTTTTTACTACCACATTTAACCATCCCTTTAACTGAAAATTCAACTCTTTGCAATTTAGCCCTAACCAGATGATCTTTAAGGCTTTTAGATCTTTGAAAACATACCATAGGTTGTTCAGGCATAACGCTCAAAAACTGCCCAGACAAACCTACAATATTTTGCAATAAAAATACCATAAAATTCACGCAAAGCCCGGTGAACTCTCTTATCACTTATTATATCCCATGTGTACTTAATATCTTCATGAAAGAATTCAAACGGAGAAGGAAATTATCAAGTACCAAATTTTAATTCACTTTGGGTGCTTGTTTTGATAACCCTGGGAAACGTATTTTCAAATCCCAGAAGCGTAATTAGTTGCACTGTCATTGAAATTCTAAAGTTCATACAAATTATGGTATTTGCAGTTTTTTTGATACACCCTGTACAGGATGTCTCAGGACAACGAATCATATCGGCTTTCAACTTCAACATAGTCTTCATCTTTGTTCCCGTCAATTTGTTTGATCGGTTGTTGTTTTGGTGTGAAAAAGCAATCGTTGCAGCACGATACGCAAGCATGTTCAATCCAGCCGTCAGTTTCCTCGTCTAGTTCTGGCACAGAACACTCTGAATGGTTATAAACTACGTAACTTAACGCATAACTTAAGCTTCGTTAAGTCCACGAAGCAACAATGGCTGGATCATAATGGATAATGTGGTACAAAAAACAGATGTATGCATTTTATACGAGTCAATTTTATTAGCCGTCTAAACTAGTGTCGCGCTTATGTCGAATTATGTGACAGGGGCCGGTTGTATCAAGCCCGTTTAGCTTAAACGGTGGATAAGTCCAAAATAGAAAGCAAGTCTATCGTTTTATTCAACAAGCGAACTAAATGTTTTTGACTATAATACAAAGATACTGTTACAACTACATATTCAGTGTATAATATTCAAGTTGACTCATTTAAGAGAGATGTAAGAGTGTTATTTAATTTTGACTTATCCGATGTTTAAGCTAAACGGGCTTGATACAACCGGCCCCAGAGCTTGTTGCAAAATTCAACAGCGTCGAATTTAATGTGCCGCGTCGAATAAAAACAGTTTAGACGTCGCATTTCAGTCGAAAAAAAGGCGTCGCACTTCAGTGCATTAAATGCGACGAGTTAAATTTGACTAAAATGCGACGTCTAATCTAGGCCTAAAGCGCAATAGATAAGCACCTCTGGGAATTGAAAAGCTTAATCCTTCATTTAAAATGCCAAAAGTCATTTTAGCTGAACTATGGTGCAAACCCGCGAACAATATTAATATTCTTGCATATTTGAGTGGTTGCGTTTTTTTTGAGACACCTGTATACATTCATACGGTTTAAGTGTTTTCAAAACAACATAATTCTTTTCTGAGCAACCGCGACTTCTTTGCACTTGATGACTTGTTGACAGTTTTATTCAATGTTTTATTTTCTGTATACTTACCTGCGATTAGAGCAAGTATACAGGGTGTCCCAAAAAAACCCGAAAACTATTGAAATCACTCATTGTTAAAATTTGAATGCCGTGTTCACGAATTTCAGCCCGTGGGGATTTAATGCAACTTATAAAATGCTAAATGCTTTGTGTTGCTAGAGAAAGGGGACATGTCGAAGGTCATGCTCCTTTAGATGCATATTTAAATAATGTTATCCATATTTGTAAATTGTAAATATTGTTAGTAAATATCATTTTTGCGAACAAGCAAATTTACTGCATCATATGCAAGCATAAAAATGAGTATGGTAAACATTTATACACCTGTGGGTCCCAACAGAGTGCTTAGGCATTCAAACTCTAACGATTGCATTGTTATGGGTGATTTCAATAGTTTTCGTTTTTTTGGGACACCCTGTAGAAATACCGGAAGAAAACTACATAATATTAAACGAGAGGTAAACCCTTTGTTGCAATCATTCGCCTTAATTGTTAATTGAGGGTTTCAACAAAATTGGTAGCCCTTGCAGCCTTAAAATTATACTCTTTTCTTCGTTTCCTAACATTACAACTTGACGAGGAGGCATTGTCCGTAACAAAGTCAAAGCTGTTTGCAGAATATTTTAAAAGCATTTACATAGCAAGCAAAGGGCTATACACATGCAACTCTCAAGAGTGCATTGCTTAAAATATACTGCAATTGATATCATCATGGTAATTGACACGCTAATTGTTCATGCATGATCAACTTTTCCGTAAACAAGTCGTCTGGGTTTGAAGTTTTATTTGTTCCTTGTCATGAATTGTTTTTGCTAATCGGCTTGGAACGGAATAAAATTATCACATTCGTCTAAGTGCTTGTCGAAAATTCATATTTAAGGTCTCATCCAGTAGCCACGCGAGTTTAAACGAATGCAGACAACTGAGTCGCTCGGTTGATGAGGCTACTCGTTCGTTCTCGTTGAATTGTGCATGTTCACTTATTCGACGAAAAGAAAGCAATTCTCAAGGAACTCGATAGGCAAATCATTGATATATGCGAAATTACCGACATTGATAGGGAAATTGAAGAAGCTGACGATATTTTGTCTCGAATTATGGACATGCAACAACAATTCCCGAAACTCCGACCGTGACGGCACCGCTTCCCCCGTCGTCGAATAGTCCTACCACTCTGAATACGATGCCACTAATTCAGCTCGAAAACGAAGGTGCTGGTTCAAGTTCAAATGAATTCGTACGAGTACGACCCATTCCCCATCGATCAATAACTCTACAATACCTGTAGTACAGCAACAACGTTTTTCCAAATTGCCAAAATTGGTTCTGCCCAAATTTAAGAGAGATATTACCCAATTCTGATCTTTCTGGGACAGCTTCGAGGGTGCTGTGCATAAGAACCCTGTCTTATCCGTTATCGATAAGTTTAACTACTTAAGATCACTGTTAGAGGGCCGTGCGTTTCGTGCCGTACAGGGCCTTCCTATTACCAAAGGAAACTATCAATCCACCGTTGACATTTTGCAGCAACGTTTTGGAAAATCCCAAGCTATTATTTCAGCTCATATGGAGGAGCTTATAAAATCCCCAGCTTGTACTGTGGACAAACCCGCTCAAATGCGATATATTTACGATAAAGCCAGTGTCCATGTTCGAGGTCTAGAAGTTGCCCAATGGTATAATGGCTAAGTTGCTCAATGATATTAGAATACAGATTGCACGACATACAACACAGGACATATGGAAGATTGACGCCATACTAGATATCATCTTGAAGGAAGTTGAAGCCCGTGAAATTAGTGACAGCGTTAAGGTGGGTGATCCTGATCACCGTAGGCCTAGAATACTATCCGCACAAGCGTTGGCTGCTCAAGGATTCCCTGGGAAATCCATCGTGTGGGTGTATTGCAAGGAACATCAACTCAGCCTCCTGTGATAGAAACGAATGTGAATGCAAGGAAGGAGATGTTAAAGAGTGATCGTAAATGTTTTGTTTGCTTGGGAAAAAACAACTGCAGCAACAAATGCGATCCGAATCGAAAGTGTAGAAGATGTGGTGGGGTCATCACCAATCCATTTGTCAAAGGTTTAATCCACCTGATCCCTCAAATCCGAACAAGAGTCCAATCAAGCCTGATGATAAACCTCCATCTAACGAAGGCAATGCGGCAACCGATCGTGATTCTCGAGCCTCAACTGCGACCGCTGTTGACCAACCCCAAGTCACCACCACCGCCACCAAGAGTCACCATCAAATTCTTTACAGACCGCAGTCACCTATGCTAAATCGTTTGATGGTCCCAATGAAATTCCTGTACGTGTTCCATTAGACAACGGAAGTCAAAGGTCGTATGTTACCACTTCTTTGAAACGAAGACTGGGTCCAGTAACAATAAAAACGAAGAAAATCAACTTGAATACCTTTGGTGATGACAAATACCGGGTGTCCCAGAAAAAAGTACTCCGGTTTGATTCATAATAGCTTCTAAACTAGCTAAGCTATTAGGCTGAAATAACTTTCCCTAGATAGAGGAAAGACTAACTTAGATTTTGATATATTACAGTTGTATTTTACTTCAAAATTTACGGAGATATCAATGTTTAAAAATTGGTAGCATATTTCTGGATGTGTCTAAATTATGCAAAAAACGCCGTATCAAATATTAATAAAGCTTTTCTCAACTGAAACATGCACTATTAGCAGTAAATAAATGACACTTGACAAATTGTTTATTATGAAGTATTATTTAATGAAGAAAATAATCGAGCCTTTTTGCAATTACACATATAACAGTATCAGCGCTATCGAAAAATGTTGGATGTCCCTGGGGAGTTGCATGTTGTGCCTTATGAGTTATGGAATTATGGTTTGAATGTGTTTTATTTTGAGTTTATCCTGAAT